TCGAGGGTTGAGGTGTTGAATGGCACGTTCGGCGACGACATAGGCTTCAATCCCCAATATATTCCACATGTAAGCGACACACAAAATAGAACTAATACGGTGGATGATGAACATGATTGAAATGCCAAGAGAGTTGATGCGATGGATGTGTGAGTTAGGAAAGTCCTGCACTTGCAAGGTCGAACTTATACAGCTGCTCCCGTCCGAAATGAGGGAGAATAATGGGCTATGGCACCTCAGTCAAGCTCAATTAGGCTGTGCGAGACAGAGTAGAATATTGATTCTGGTCAAGGCTACCAATGAAACGGTTAGAGAATCTTTGGCGTTCAGAAATGTGGTGCGGCTGAGCAGCGCCATTGTCGCTTCGACAATGCACGAGGCAGAGTTGGCAGATTCAGCCGTTGATTCGGGTTAACTTTCGCCCAACCCAGCCTCGCTTCAAACCGGAAGGTATGAAAGACCCTCCATAGATGAAATGCTTGCGCCTTCACGACCTGCGCTACCGCATTCCCATGAGGCGCGATAGTTTAAAGTAAGGGACCTGAAAGGAATGGCGAAGCAAAATATCAGAAATGAAGCGCCTGACCTCTTCTGCGATATCGGCATCAGCTCGTCCAAATTATGGTGGCTTCAACCCGAACACTCGCATGTCGTGCGCGGCTTGGAGCGGCGCAACCTTCATGCTCAGAGGTCAAACTCGAAAAACATCAAACAACCTTTATGCAACACGTCGACTTGGAAATTGGACCTGTCGGATTGAGCGACAAGAGATACTAAAGCATGGATTCGCGCCAGGTTTGGATGAGGCGTGTGCAATGTCCATCCTAAAAGCCTGCAGTCCTGCGGATATAATCTAGTCGAGTGAAGGCACTTGACATCAACCCCGACGATGTACTTGACGGTATCCAGAGTATCGCTTCCATGGAATCGGACTGAATCATCCGTCGTTGTGCGAATCCATCACGCACTCAGCTACCTTCCGCGACTTGCATTGTATCCTGGAACGATTCCCCGGCATTCAGGGTACATCGGATTGAACATGTATTGTCGTCAAGAAATGCTCGAGGCATTTCCATCTTGCCAAGAACCTGATGCTGAATCTTTGCTCCAATCCTCGAGAAGGCTGTCGGCAGAGATTACATCGCTTTGCAGTCGAAAGGGTATGTCAAAGGACATTCGCTCGCCCCTCATTACTTCGCAGATTGTGAGTCGCCCAATACGACGAGACACAAATAGTCGGCCCTAGATCAAAATAGATGTTGGAGGAGATATTGTTGTTTGGTTAAAGTTAAGGTTAAAGTTGGGATGATCCACTCGTTCTGAGAAATTCTCGTCTGGGTGCTTGCAATCAGCATTTGTCAGCACGACTCTCCTTTTGAAGACCTTACAGCTCCCCGAATCACCTCTTTCGAGTCGCAAAGCACTTACACAACCCGGAGAGATCGGGGGAAAAGGGAACGTTCATTCACATTCATCTTCATCATGGAACCGAAGTGGATGGTATTAAGCCCCACGATGTCATCAAGGTGTCGCACAAGTCCCACACGAACCCCCCAGATCTCATTGTGCGTCATAGTACTCACATGATAGTGCAGTATCCAGGCAAAATGCTCGTCACCGCATTCGTGACAGCATGGACTGTTCCTAAACCAACATCCGATGCTTCTACAGCTTTATGCTCGTTCTCCTTGATCAAGCTGAAGATAAGGTGGTTCATCTCCGTCTGTGTGAGGGGTTTCTCCAGTGGTCTCCAGCCCTCCTTGTATGGCAGTCGCTCCTCCTCTAGAAAACATCATCAGCTCTGGCTCGGAAGATCCATCTTTGGTGTGGGGGATGCCTGAGAGAAACTTACGGAACAGCACTTTCAGATACTCGAGCGGAATCTTGCCCTCAGTTGGACTCCCTAATATGCCCAGAAACAACGCTGACTCGCCATAACTGAACGTGAATTCCTTGATCCCATAAACAAAGTCCTTTTTTGCATCCGCATGCGCCTTCTTGCACGCAGCCAACCTATTGTATCTTGCCTTACTCACGGTCGCGAAACTCGTCTCTGTATCATCACCATACGTCTTCAAGACCTCCTCCCAGATCTCCTTATTGAATGTGTGATTATCCCCGAACGCGATATCATTCCTGCTCAATGAAACGTCGTGTTCAATCAGGCCATGTTTATCGACTTGGTTAAGGTCGAAGGAATGGGCAGAATGGTCAGGATTTGAGGTCACAGCAACAGAGGCGAACAAACTAGCGATGCCAGAATCGAGGTTGATCGAACCAGTAAGTGCTTCAACTGCCATGGCCTTAGTGATTCCTTTGCCCGAATGGGGGAGGACGTGGTGGTTTGCGAGCGCATTGATCATTGGACATGGTGAGCGGACTGATGGTAGTCAGAATTGCGATACCCCGAGAGGGGAATGAGGACTTCATACCATCTCCAGGGCCTGCTGGCTCCCATTTCGACCAGTCGACAGGAGGATGACCTGCTGGAGTTTCTGTGGACATTTTGAAGAGTGATACACAGTTTTCAAAAGAAACGCAGGACCAATGTGCAGATTATTGCCTTGAACGTAACAAGAAGTATCGCGCTGTGTGGTGGTTGCCTGGTCTCAGGATTGGCTTCTCAGGAATGGATAACTTTTAGGAATGAAAGCGTGTTTCTACCCCGAAGTTATTACATCTACAGGATAGAAGTGCTTTGTTTTATCCTGCACCACTGCAGATATGATAACCTTCCGTTTCATGGCGGGCTGAAGCCGCGATGCATCCTGCAGATGCAATGCTCAGCTCGTCTGAATTTGACGTCGCACCCAGCATCTCATTGGGCAACGCATGCGGCAGGCTTCAGCCTCAGAGGAAGATTTGCATGTGCTGATCATTCCGGAAATCATGATTGGAGAACGCGCCGGTCCGTTTGAGCCTTTGGTGTTACATTGCCGTTGATGCAGCAAATGCAGCAAGTGCGACGGCGGGGTACACTAATCGGAGGACGTGATGTGCACCTATTACCTTCGTCATCAAGAGGTTGATGGAGCAGATAATTCCGCCGAATACGAAGAAGAATGACGGGTGATATACGAGCCTTTCGGGGCCATACGAAATGATGTTTGAGTATCATCAATTTGTTCAAGCCAGCTCTCCCTACAAATATAGGCCTGTCGACTGAAATTCGCTACCCCGCCATGCCCCGCTTCGCCTGGTGTGTGGTATCCCCATCAGACACAGCCTCCGCAGTACCTTCGTAGCGAGATCCGGCTACAATTACCATTACTAGATATAAACCAATTCTTCTGATTGTGTAAGATGAACATTTCGACAACGAGTCAGTGACGAAAATTGGCTGTTGAAAATGAAAATGGGGATACAAACAATACAGGGTCGCACCAATCCAATACTTCGTAATGTTCAGTTCTTCTAAAGCAATGGAGTAATTTCAAACGCTCTTACGAGAAAATTTAGTATCAATTGCCTATGCTTTAAATTGAGTCTCTGTCATCGACGGCAAGTTTATTCACCTTGACAAATATCGTATGGAAAGCTTGTTATCTGGGCAGTTTTCACAATACTGGTTCGGCATTCTGACACTATCGAATAGACATTAAACTATATATCAGAGCTACCTTTACGTACAAGCGACTGTATGCCCATATAATCCACCATCTACGCTCGTATACATTGAAGACGAGAGTCGTGGCTGAAGAGAATATAACTCCCATTTCACATCTGCTCTCAACCAGGAGTCAACCTCGAAGTAGGACGAAACACTAGCAAAGAGAGCTAGTCTTTGAAACTTATCTATGTTGGAGTTGCTGACTCAGGACAAGTGCTGTCATACCAAATAATCGTTTCGGCGACGTCTGGAAGAGGACCCATGGCAACCAAATTCCAACTAAACAGCTAGCATTGTGCTGTTCCAGTTGAATCCACAAGATATGAGTAACTCACGCAGCTGCATAGGCAGTTATAAGCAATCGACAATAGAATCAAGACCCAAAAGGCCCACGACGAAGGCAGAAGTTGTAGCAGCGTTTGTGAAAGCGTAAACACCGCATGTGGATTTGGGTAGGCAGGTGGTGGATAAGAGATGTCGTACCAGGCTACTCCATTATCATCAAGACTTAGGGCAATGACTGCCACTGTGTCCTGATAGAATTAGCATTGGAGAAGAACTGAGTCGAAGGCGCCGAGACACATCTCAACCATGTGAGTTAGTCACAATTTGAAGTACGAAAAAGCAAAGATAGTTTGGAACGCACCTAAAAATAGAAATTATATTAAAACGTCATGTAATTTATGGGCAAAAATCAATGAGTTGATTTGCATGATGGTAGGAAATCTTCGCTGTCGTTGCACCGCCTATAAACGTATATTAGTTATACTTTTTTGATATCTGAGACATTAAAATTTTATTAGAACAATGTGCCACAAAAAAAACCCCTTATGATCTCCTTGCAAGATAGCAATTTATCTAATTTGGCATCAGGGGAATGACTTCTGAGGGAATATTCATGAGAGGAAGGGTTGAAAATAATCCGAAAATTCACGACTATGAGGAGTTTCAACTCAAATACCCAAATCAAGTCATCATTCGCTCTCTGAATCCAGGGCAACAACACCTAGCATCACGCAAAACTCTGTAGCTGCGTTCGAATTTTTGAGTAGACTTGTAGTAAAGATTCGAATTTCTTTGTCTTTCCCTTCGTTTTATTTTCCCGAGCGAGGGTTTTGAAAACATTTCTTGAAGCTTACAGCGGAATTTTTATTGGCCTTATGATGCAAGAGAGTAGATGGGACATAATATTAGTTGATCATAGAATATTATCAGGATATTGTACAATGAAAACAAACGAATACATTTTATGATGGTATGAGGGGACGTTTCCAAGGAGCCGGTGGCCCTCGCTTAAAGTCTGCGCTAGTTGTGCCCCTGAGAAACGCAAAAAAGAAATGAACATCGTCCGCAGATCCATACGGAAAAATATGAAATAATTGCAAAAGATTGCGTTCGCCGGGAATCGAACCCGGGGCCCATCGAAGTTGTATTTCGAAAGATGGCAACGATGGATTTTACCACTAAACCACAAACGCTTGTTTCCACTTTGGGACGAGGCCCTTGCTGAATGGACGAAAAGTGCTTATTCAGTAATATCAGGCAGCAACTTGTTTAGTGGCCATCAGACCCACAACTCCGATTTCCACCAATAAGCGACGCCCTAAAAAAATACGGCGCTGGAAGCGTTTTCTCGATTGTATTTTCTCCACAGTGTATTAAGATCCTTTCTTACCTACGAATAGTCAAACACTTTACGTATAGTCAAGCACTTCATTCCATTTTACTTCAAATGCTCGCTCTAGTAGCTCTCTCAAGCTTATATAATATTCGGCTAAGCTTTTGACGTCCCCTAAGCGAATTTACAGGTATAAAAGGCAGCAGATTCCCCCCTCTCTCCTCAAACTTCTTCTTCTCAGCCTTGCTTCCCATATTTAATGAACACACTCCAATATTTGCTTGATGTACACCACCTTCTCCCGTCGCATGACGCCCCACGCACCTTCTTTGGCTATCGGGCATCAGTGCGTGCGGAGTCACATGCAGGTTTCGCTCCTCGCGTTCCGGTCCAGTCAAGAATGAGGGATGCTCCAAAACAGCTTGCTCACGTCTGCAGAATCCCACCCACTTACTCAACATATAACTTAATGATTATTATAGGTGGCGTGGATGTGGTTTCACTCTTCGATCAGAAATGGAAGGTTGTACATTATGTCGAAAAGAGCCGATTCGGCCGTGGGGATGGTTGAGAAGGAATGAGCAGATAGCCGAAAGAGCTTCCTCTTTCGTTCGATGACCATCTGAGTAACTCTCATTCTGTGCAACCTCCAACTGTTCATGGATGTCGAGTTTATATCCTGCAATCGTTGTCAAGTGGTCGAAATACGAGCTGTCTATCACCACGGAATCCACACACTTCCTCCGATCGACGATTATCTTCCCACGCGCTTCTATTGGATGATTACCTTCCTCGATCTGAACGCCTTAGAGGCGTACTCCTTCCCGGAGTTTCCTGATGAGACCCCACTTCGCCATTTCCCCGTCTCATTCAAGCAACCCCTCTGGAAATGCGGGTGCTCGATCGGTCGATCTTCAGAATGTCACACGGCACAGTGAGACGTCCAGCCCAACAGATCAGCTCAGTTTTCTGATTTGGTGAAGAGGACAGTCGGATCCTCAAAAGCAGGCCCCTGATCAAATGCCAAAGAACGAATCGTTCCTCAACCCCTGGAGCTCACGGCTTCACACTGAGGACATGTAGGGAGAAGCTATTCCGATCCTATCAAGCAATAACGGCTTTGCGAGACAGGATATGCAAGTCGCTGAATGTGTGCCAGTTGAATCAGTACTCTCGGGCGATTGTGTCGATTTTTCAATGTGTCGTTGAATGAACCACTTAAGTGCCGTGCCCTCGAGGATGGCTACTCAGCAGCACGGGAGCAGGTATGTAGAGCTGGAAGGTTCTGGCAGGACTTGATTGCTTACAGTCAAGGTCTACAAGCTCATGCCTGCATGTCGGCCTAGACAGTCGCACTGGGTACCTAGGTAGGTAAGGTAGTTCTTCGAAAGACAGCAACACGTGACTTCTCACGACTCCTCATTTTCCTCCTCTCTCTACTTGCTATTTTAACTCTTATGCATTGAGTTTTCTTTTCAAATTGCTCTGGATCTCAAGAGGTTCAACTACTACAAAAAGCATGCAAATTCCCTCTGCTAGATCTGAGCAGATCCGTTCCAGATAATAAGCAGTAATACTAGCTGCTTTATTCTTACCTCAGGTACTTGGCAAATCATAAATCAGTCAAATAGCATCGTCCCTAAAGACTCATCTTCGGAACTGCCCCACCAATCATCGGCCGGCTTAGTGGCAAGTTCCCGTCCCAATCCGCGATGAGCTGCTTTCTTGGCACTTTCATCAAGGAGAACAGCATCAGGCGTCTGCGAATCGAAGTCAATCGGCTCCAGCGCAATCATTTTCAAGTCTTTGATTCGAGCTCTGAAATCATCGTTCAAATCCATCCTTCCAAATGCTATAGTAGCTAGCATAAGAAGCGCTCGGAGTGTAAAATGAGCGTCGTTTCCTGCATTGTGAAGGTATCGGTTCTCAAAAGGAATATCTAGATATTGCAAGACTCTCCCCAAGGAAGGAGGCTGGGAAAATGGGAGTCCTAAGCCTTTTGTGATAGTAGGAATGTTGAGAATACCCTCGATGGAGAAAAAGTTCTGGTCTCGCAAGTCGATCCCAATCTTCTCCATGATATCCAGTTCCGCAGATATTTTATGGCCCACAAGGACAACCTTGTTAGGCGTCCCGGCAGAAGATTTCACAGAGATTTCGTTCTTCAGAAACTGGGGTATCTCTCTTCTCAGTTTACGTTCTGATTTTCCGAAAAGAAAGTTGCGTCCAGGTGATTTGCTGGTCATATACCGTTGCGAGCGAATTTTGTTCTCCTGAGTGCCAGAAAAGTGGCGCCATTCAAGGGTTGAAAAGGTAGAAATCCCTATCTCGGTGATTTCATCATCCTTTTTGAATGGTATTCGAAATCGATCGCGCAGAAGGTAACCCCAGTTGTCTGTTGCAGGAGTATTTTCTCAAGCAGTTCTATACTAGCAGGACAACGAAGCTCTCGAATGACTGGGCGAGGTGATTTGTCTCTGCTCACAGTCATTACCTGCAACATGATGCTTCAAATAGTAGATATTGGAACTAAATAGTGCGAGTTGGTTGTCCTTCAATATCTAGTGGCTTGTTGTTGGTTGGGGCTCATGTTTGCGAGAAAAATTGGCTTGATGAGTAGAATACTTCAAGTTCATTCGTATATCGACTAGCTAGTCCCTTAAGGGATGCGGACGGGACTTTGCTACTCCCTAGAGAGGTAGCGTCTATCGCTTAAAGGAAGCATGATTCACGTGTCATTCGAAGCCAGATACCTAGGTATGAGTTAGTGTTACCTTAGGTCGCAGCTCAGATATAAATTTTTCTGTCGGTTAACTGCTCAATTTCCAGAGCTTTCACTCGATGCCAAATTCGAAATATCGAGAACTGTAGTCCATCTCGACAGCCACATAACACTCGGGTTGAAGTTTTCTACCATAGGCACTTGAACGGACAGGGAATTCTTATCGTGGTGTTTTTTTCTCTCTCTCACTGGTACCGTGGGCTGCTCTTGCTGTGTGCTCCCTACCTAGGTAGGCAGGTCGGAATGTGAAGCGCTCGTATTGAAAAATGGTCATTCCTAAATAAATGGGCAACAATTATTTCATATCGTAATTCTCTTCCTCTGGAGATCATCTACACATTTCGATCAAGACAGACCAAGTGTCTTAATCTGGGTCCCCAACTACATATTTCACGTGACCAGATTGTCAGTGCCAGCTGGAGGACGTGCTGCCCTCTGACACTACAGGAGCATTGCTCTTTCCAAAATGGCACATCAAGTCGGACTGAACCCTGGACCGTGGGTTACATGTAGTGCAGTAAACAATTTTCACTTTAATCAGAAGGGCACGGTGGCAGAGTGGTTCAATGTATGCATTCTTCATCTTATCCCATTCTGCAAGATCTCATACTAACACTCCATCAGGTATCGATGTGAAAGTTTACAACTACATATCCGTTCCCTAGGGAGCAAGATTCGAGTCTCTCCCGTGTCGCATACCAATTTTTTCTTTTCTTTTAGCCTTTTCTCGGGCTTTTCGGTTGGAAATGTGAGCTTCTAGTCGAACAGAATTATCCTGTCTTTGTAGTTCTATTTTTGCTGCCCATCACTAGCTGCGGCAAGCGAGGAGCAGAGCAGGAAGCGGGGACTCATTTCGGCTGCGTCTTAAGTAGACAGCTCCGTTCTGCCTCGTTCTGGAAGGAACCGCTTGCCTCATGGCTTGCACCTGCACCAGCACCAGCCTCACTTCTTGGGGCACGCGTGCTCAAAAAATTACGCATACCACTGTTACAAAGCGCGAGAGAGTAATCTCCTCCTTACTCTTCACACTTCTCTCTATTATCTTCAAGTATGCATCTGAGCACACACCTGATGAACGGTGATTGAACGCCTGACCACCTGAACCCTCCTCGCAGGTGACAAATCCCTGAACTTCGAGTCTTGTCAAAAAACATTATTTCCTCTATGACTTCAACCAATTCTGCTCGCATTCTCAAATCGTTCGCAAGCGTCGTATCTTTTTTCTTCCTTCTTTCTCCTCGCCGCCCGGTTTTGCAGTCGCGTTCCTGTTCCAGGTTTTCAAACGCCTTAGAGATATAACGCCTCACAATTCTCCCTTCAATATTATTCGAAGTAAATTGTCGTTGAAGTGTTTACATCTTCATACCTACAAATACATCTACGCTGTTAGCCTGCAGCATTCATCCCATTTCTGCAGGGTTCTCATGCCTCTTGTTCCCAGTTTCATGGACTCATTGAACCCTGCAGAAATATCCTGTACATGACTAGCGTTACACGATAAGGTAGTCTTTACTGTCATACTTTTGAGTATAAAACCAAGCAAGCGCTGAGTGTGAAAGTCTTCGATAACGAAAGACAAATCTGCCATGCTCACGGGTTAACATGGTTGTAAGTATCTAAAGCACCGAGGTTGTTCTGGACCACTGTAGAAAGTTCAAAATAGTACTCAATAACAAATGTCTAGTTTCGATAGTGAACTTTCACAGTGCTATTGACCATTCTTGATATTTGGGAGTTGGTCAGTGTGGGCGTTTGTCTCCTGAGGGCTCCCGGGTTCTGTGCACTAGGGGGACAGCTGGTCATTTCAGAAGATCTGTTGGGTTTAATTAAAGTAGATGCTCGGAGAGACCTGCGTCATCTATGTTGCAACCGAGAATTCAAGGAGTAGGCAGCGATGGAACCGCGCTTCCACATGTGTATCTTCCTTCATGCCTTGGTGACAATTTACATGAGTTTGCAACCAAATGCCTCGGGGTTCTGCACAGCCAATCTATTGAACCTCAAGATAGACATCCATTCCCTCTTTTCTTCACTCATCCCTTTGACAAAACAAATTCCTTTCCAACCTTACTTTCTCC